TTGAGAGTTCCTTTCCGCACACCTATACGTTAACACCTACCGTCTTGCAAAAGCGATAGACTCAAGAAACATCTGTTTCCAGGAGAGGAAGGGAAGGTATACATTACTGTCAAAGATTGGAGTCAAAAGACTTTTAGGGTGTTTAAAATTGTTGACGCAGTGTTGAAAAGCAGTAATGCTCACAATCAGAAAAACATTCAAATACTGATCAGAATATGGATATAATTCTGTTATATCACAGTCCGCAGTCATGGGGCCAACTTGAATAAAATATTTGGGTGGGGGTTGGGGAGGAAGCTAAGCCCTGTCCAAGCTAAAGGCTTGGTTTTTTTCACTAACCCTCGGTCTACCTCCAGCAACTTCATCTGCTTCTTTAGCAGTGCCACGAACCCCTTGCAACAAGGCACAGAATCCCATTCAGGTTCTCCACTCTACACCACAAGGCCTGGCCCACTGCCCAACACACCTGCCAACAGCAATGCTGAGCTGAGAGCAGCAGGAAAGGCATGCTGCAACCCGGCAAGCTAAGGGCCATGGCTGCCGCCACCGCATGCACAGTTGCACTCGATTATGTGTGCTTGCACAGAGACCGGCACCTGCGAGGATCTGGCCATAAGCAGTCTCAGAGAGTGCTCCCTGTAGCACAGACAGGAGCAATAAAAAGCTTATGGGTGGGAGAGGGTTGCTTGTGGCCTCTAGCTTGTGGGCCTCTGTTTCTTCCCTATGGGCCCCATGTGGGATACAGAGACATTTTGGAGAAATGTCAAGGGTGTCCCTAAATGCCCACATGCCCTTTCCATGTCCATTCAGCACCACCCACGGTTAAAAAGGCAATCCTAAAAAAAAAAAAACCACCTGCGCATCCACCAGTGAGAAATGAAAGTTATTGAGGTGTGTGGGTTTTTTTGGGGGGGGGAGTTTTTGAGCTTTTGCCAACACCAAAAAATACTGATATTTTTGAGCTATTTTTAAGGAACATTGGCAAGAATGACATGTATGGATTGCCATATATCTGGACATTTTGCTGATTTTCATCCGGACACTGGTTATGACTACAGTATTCTGGGTTTGTCCTACCGTTTCCATAGTGTCACATTGAGAAATCCAGCTATAAGCTGACTTGAATGGCCATTTTGCCTAGAATACACCCACACCCAATGTTGTTGGCTGTGTCCCTAATACATTTCTCTTGATTTCACAGTCAGAGGGAGAAAAACAATGCAAGAATTATGCATGTATAAGAATGCTGTTTGAAGGTGCAACAACACAGTGTGACTTTAAATGAAACTATGGATGAAACATCAGGGCTTAGATTGAAACATTTTAAAAGTAGGCCATGCTGGAAATAGACACACTACATGGTACTGAGCAAATGCAAATTTGCAAATTCCACTGTGCTGCAGAGCAGAGGGAGAGAGAGGAAGGAAGCAGGGGTTATTCTACCACTGCTGCTTTTCCACAACGGTCACCTAGCAGTGGTTTCTTCACTCACATTCGAGGGTCTCCCAGTTTGTTTTCTCATCACCCTAAGCTCCGGAGTATACCAGGGGAACCAAATGGGCTACACAAAGCAGAAGAGGGTGCTCATAGGTGATCGTATCAATGGCTCGAGCCAGAGGTCAGCCAGGGCAAGTCATATCAGCTAGAAAATCCCCCAGTGCCATTGGACCCATCAGCCTCTGAGGGCGGATCATCCTAATTGGTCCTCTGCTTCCACAGAGGGTGAAAGGTGCTGAAAGCCTAAATCTTACAGGGAAGTGATTTGACTATGACAATAGCCCCTGCTTTCAGACCACCCTCTTCCTGTCCAGTCAAGAAAGCAAGTTCCACAGTGTGGCCTGCAAAATGTGTTGGCCAACAAAGTTCTGAGCCACCCCAGAGCCAGGCACCTCAACATGGATGTTAAAGTCCCTCCAAACCAGCATTCTGGGAGTCTTCATCACCACTCTTGAGACCAGATCCATCAGTGAGTCTCTCCCCCCCCACTCTTGAATTATGTGGAACGTGGCATGTTGGAATGGTATACATTGGTCATCAAATGGTTTGGTTGGGTTGGTGAATTGTTTAATTGATTTGTATATATTTACATATTGTATATATTTGCATACTGTACTTGGATCCAACCTGCTGCCTGTAATTTTGGACTCTCCTTGGAGAGGAGTCTACAGTGGCTGCCATGATAAGTTCCCAGACTTCAAAATTGACCACTATGCCTATGTCTATTGATCTTATGCCGTGAAGAAGCAGAAGTTAGATCATGGTATAATTGTCCATATCAATGCCTGCAGCCAAATTATCCTGTATTAACAACCTCAGATTGAAGTTCAGGGGAAAAGTCTCAATGTGTCAGAAGGAGACAGCTAAAATAGAGTAATAAAAATGATTTAGAGGGACATTTTACTGCCTCTGTAGTCCAAAAGGTGGAGATCTGGTTGCTTTGGAAGCCTTTTACTATGTCTCCTTTGCTATTGGGGAAGAATCTCATCTTGCTTCTTAGGATCCAACTTGAAGATTTAGCTGTATGTAACACAGACTGCGGTGAACTCTGCTCAATAGATCTGATTATTCAGAACTGCTGGAGAGGCATCTATTCAAGGCAATGGAAGTATAATCAGAAATCTCAGGTGATATTAAAATGCACTGCCAGTACATGCAGACAAAATACCAATTCAATCTTGTCCTTAAGCAAATGCATTTTGGTAAATGAGAAACAAAAAGAGAGAGAATCAGGGAGTGTCATGAGATTTCATTGTTGTAACCACTGCACTGCTCTGTCTCTCTCAACCCGAGTCACACTAGCTAGGGCTTTTAAAGCTCCTGTGCTATTTAATGGACACTCCCATACGTCTGAGGAAGTGGACCGTAGTCCGCAGAAACTCATGCCGCAATAAATTTGTTAGCATTTAAAAGGGCAAACGCAAGGCTCTTTGTTGTTTTTGCTGCAAAAGGCTAACACAAATACTCCTTAGGGAAACATTAGAAAGCGGTATGGCCATTGAAAAGCATTGCCTCTTGACTTCTGCACATCAAGCTGATCCGGTCAGCTGGCAACGCGAAAACAAACTCAACAAAGAGGGAAGGTCTCCTGCCTTGCTGGTGTGTGTGTGTGTGTGTGTGTTACAAAACCTGTGTTCACACTCCTGTTCACTGCGTACTCACTGCGTTTCCAATGCTGGGCTTTCAATCCCCCAACACAGGACATTATCCAAAATGTGTCCTGTGTTGACTGCAGTCCTAATTCATCCCTAGCCCAAGATGGGACCACGTCTGCACAAGGAAAATACATTATGCCGATGTGAGCAGCCGAGAAGAGCTATGAAATGCAGTAAAAAACAACCCTACAGCAACTTCACTGTGCTCTAAGGGAGTAATGTGAACAGACCTCTGGATCAAACTCTGGATTCCCTTATCAACTTTCCTCATTGCCTGACCTCCCTCCCATCCTGTCCTATCCCAGTAACCAGCTTTCCAGCTTGTCGCTTAAGCCTGTAGACCCAGCAACTTGGAAGGGACCAAATGGAACTCAACTCTCTTCTACAACAGCCAGATGAGGACATCCCACTTTGATTAAAGGGGCATAGTCAGACCACTGAGCTCATCACTGTGCACACTCTCCATGCAGAACAAATGCCAGCAGCATTTGGGGAACTTTCCCCAGCAACCCTACCTGGAGAGGCGGGGGTTAAACCTGCAAAACCATGTGCTCTGCCCTTCCCTAATTCTCATCATCATCAAACCTATTATTGGCATCACATCCAAACATCCAAAACAAATCAATGCAGAATTACCACTTCCCCAGTGGCACAAAACATTTGCTGAAAGAAAGGAGGCAGAGCAGTCTATCGTCACATCTCTGGGTCTCTGGGGAGATCAGACGTCTGCAGTGTATTTCGAAGACAAAAAACCAACTAGAGATATTTAGCCACTAACTTGGTGAGCTCCTGATCATTCCCCAGTAATAGAAAATGTATGACCTCCAACTCTGGTTTCCATTTGGGGATGCAGAGTTGATCTAGAAATTGCTGATGGAGATAGGCATATAGTTTACAATTAAGAACCATATGTGTAAGGGTTTCCACCAGGTGGTCTTCACATGGGCAGGTTCTTCCCCAGTTCTGCAGGACACGCCCCCAAGAACAGAAGCAGCATAGCAGAAAGGTGCAGGCTAGCAAGTCCAAGTCCAATTTAATTAATTGCCCCCTGGTAATCAATTCATTAAACTGAGCCCCAGTGAGACATCAGAAGGCCTGGTTCCCCTCCATCACCTCCTCAAAGCTACTGGCACACACATTCCCAGAGGACCCAGGAGTCCTAAGGCAGCAGTAGACAATGTGACGTTCGCCAGATGTTGTGGACTACAACTCCCATCGTCCTCTCCCATTGGTCGTGCTCCCTGGGACTGATGGGAGTTGTAGTCCAAAACATCTGACAGGCACCATGTTGGCTTACTACTCCTGTCCTGAGGCTTCTCTCTCCTGCCACAATCTCTTCCCCAAGAATACATTGGTACCTCAGGTTAAGAACTTTATTCGTTCTGGAGGTCCGTTCATAACCTGACACTGTTCCTAACCTGAGGTACCACTTTAGCTAATGGGGCCTTCCACTCCTGCCGCGCGATTTCTGTTCTCATCCTGAAGCAAAGTTCTTAACCCGAGGTACTACAGTGGTACCTTGGGTTAAGTACTTAATTCGTTCTGGAGGTCTGTTCTTAACCTGAAACCGTTCTTAAACTGAAGCACCACTTTAGCTAATGGGGCCTCCTGCTGCTGCCACGCCGCCAGAGTACAATTTCTGTTCTCATCCTGAAGCAAAGTTCTTAACCCGAGGTACTATTTCTGGGTTAGCGGAGTCTGTCACCTGAAGCATCTGTAACCTGAAACGTCTGTAACCCGAGGTACCACTGTAAAAGCACCCCAGTTCCCACTATTCAGGAATCCTGGCTTTGCGCTCCAGCCCCACAGCAGCACCCCTGACCCCAAACCTCCTCCTCTCTCACTTACGTATCCGACTCAAGTTCTTCATCGACTGCGAAGTTGAGTTCTGCCCATCGCCGGCCTGCCCGCCGACTCCAGCGCCCGACTCTCCAGCTTTCTCGACCTCCTTCTCCTCTTCTTCTTCGGCCCGGAGGAGGGCGATTCTCAGCCCGGCCACCAGGCGGGGGAAACTCAAATACCCTCCGCAAGGCTCTGCCACTTGCTGCAAGGCCTGGAGCACACCCCCAGGGAGCGGGCACCTCTCGCTGTCCCCCGGGGGGCTCACCCCGCAGCCCCCGCGGCCCCAGCGGCTCTCGATTTCCGAGACGTGGACGGTCCCGCTCCGCTGGTCATCCAGGATCTCGAAGAGCGTCCGGAGGCTGCGGAGGAAGGGGCGCGGGAGGCGGGTACCACGGGCCGGAGGAGGGGGTTCCTCTGGGGTGGGTGGGAGGGATGGGGCTGCCAGCCCAGAGCTCATTGGGAGTGGGGTTCAGGGGTCCTCAGGAGGCCAGGCGATTCACAGCAGGGGGAGCCAGGAAGACCCCCAAAAGCTTCTCTGGAAAGAGGGAGCAACTGGGATTCAAGAGAGAGTGCCGGAGAAAGCCTTAATTCCAGTGAAATGAAACAGTGGGGCTGGCGGCCAGGAGGGGAGAGTTCTGGAGGGGGAGGGAGGGCAGGCAGGGGGGTGTCCTCAGGACATCTGGGCCTTCTGGGAGGGGACTAGGCTAGTGGGCTAGAGAGCAGCAGAAGGTCTGGGTGAGGAAACCAGGGCTCCTGCGGCTACGGCTGCTGCTGCCGCCGTCTGCGCGGGCAGGATTGCTCTGGGGCTTTGCTGAGGTCTCTAGTTTGTCAGAGTTGGAATATCTGATTGAGTCAGATTGGCCAAGCCGGTCCACGGAGCAGCAGGGGTGGGGGGGTGCGGAGGGGGTCAGCTGGGATTGGAATCATGTGACCCATCCCAGATAATCGCCCTGGACGCCAGATGATTAGCGGCTCTGTCTAACGAGGTGGCATCTCCTCTGGGGCAGAGAGAGAGAGAGGGAGAGAGAGAGAGAGAGAGAGAGAGAGAGAGAGAGAAGTTTTGGCCTCCTGGTGGGTAGATGAACTCTGAAGCTGGGGTCAGTGGGGTCATCTCTCCTTCCTTCCTTCCTTCCTTCCTTCCTTCCTTCCTTCCTTCCTTCCTTCCTTCTTTCTTTCTTTCTTTCTTTCTTTCTTTTTCTTTCTTCCCCTCTTTTTTATGGGTACCATTAATGTAAGATGGTAGGGCCTTCCAAGCACGCATGCTGCTCTGATTTAAATCATTGAGTTCTGAACAGACAACCAATTTCAAATAAGTTTAGCCATGCATTCTAACATAACCTTTTGTGTAAGATCATTTGGGTTTCTATCTGAGGAGAGTTTATTTATTTAACATGTGAGGCACTGGCAAATATGAGATACTCTAGGAAATGATATACAGTGGTACCTCGGGTTACATACGCTTCAGGTTACATACACTTCAGGTTACAGACACTTCAGGTTACAGACTCCGCTAACCCAGAAATAGTACCTCGGGTTAAGAACTTTGCTTCAGGATGAGAACAGAAATTGTGCGGTGGCGGGGCAGCGGCAGCAGCAGGAGGCCCCATTAGCTAAAGTGGTACCTCAGGTTAAGAACAGTTTCAGGTTAAGAACGGACCTCCGGAACAAATTAAGCACTTAACCCGAGCCGAGGTACCACTGTAATCTCCCCTGCCATGAAATAAACTGGGGCATTTAATTCCCAGCCTGACTGTGTTCTAGTTCACCTCTGGCTTGAGGAGCTCAGAGTTTCCTAGTTCAGAAACTGGTTTGAGAAACCAGGAAATCTTTGCAGAAGCAGAATATGAACCAAGGAAAACATGGGCCCATGACTTTATTCCCAATCAGGCAAGCTGCGGTTTATAACAGGCACAGACAAACTCGGCCCTCTGGATGTTTTGGGACTACAACTCCCATCATCCCTAGCTAACAGGAGCAGTGGTCAGGGATGATGGGAATTGTAGTCCCAAAACATCTGGAGGGCCGATTTTGGCCTATGCCTGGTTTATGAGATGGGGTTTGTTACATCTGAATGAGGCTGTGGCCTCCTTGCTCCTTATGGCCTTGAGCTAAGGGCATATCCACACCATTTATTTGAAGCACATCCAATGCACATTTAAAGCGCACAGCTCTCCCCATAGAATCCTGGGAACTGTACAGTGGTACCCCGCAAGACGAACGCCTCGCAAGACGGAAAACCCGCTAGACGAAAGGGTTTTCCGTTTTGGAGGCGCTTCGCAAAACGAATTTCCCTATGGGCTTGCTTTGCAAGACGACAGCCCATAGGGAAATCTCCGGGACAGCGGGGAAGCGCAGCGCGTCTTCCCCACTGTCCTCGGACCTCCTCCGAAGCCTGGCGGCGGGGCGGGGACACCTCCTCCCGCCGCCGCCGGGCTTCGGAAGGCTCCCCGCCGCCCGCCTTCAGATCAGGTCCGGGGACAGCAGGAAGACGCGCTGCGTCTCCCAGCTGTCCCAGGAGCTTGCGGGGCAGGCAGCGGGGAGAAGCGCTCTTCTCCCCGCCGCCCGCCTTGAGATCAGGTCCGGGGACAGCGGGGAGACGTGCTGCGCCTCCCCGCTGTCCCCGGAGCTTGCGGGGCAGGCAGCGGGGAGAAGCGCTCTTCTCCCCGCCGCCCGCCTTCAGATCAGGTCCGGGGACAGCAGGAAGACGCGCTGCATCTCCCAGCTGTCCCAGGAGCTTGCGGGGCAGGCAGCGGGGAGAAGCGCTCTTCTCCCCGCCGCCCGCCTTCAGATCACGTCCGGGGACAGCAGGAAGACGCGCTGCGTCTCCCCACTGTCCCCGGAGCTTGCGGGGCTGGCGGCGGGGTCTCCCCGCCGCCAGCCTCCAAACCACTTCGGGAGACAGCGGGATGGCGGCGTTCCGCTTCCCTCTGACCCCCGACCTTGTGGTGCTGGCGCTGGGGCTCTCCTGAAGCCTGGAGAGCGAGAGGGGTTGGTGCCGCCGCCCGGCTTCGGAACGATGCTCCGAAGCCGAGCGGCGGGGCGGGAACACCTTCTGAAGGCGGGCGGGGGGCGAAAGTCTTTGCCCCCCCCCCACCTGCCTTCAAAAGCCGTCCGGGACAGCGGAGAAACGCGCTGCCTTTCTCCGCTCTCCCGGGAAGGCAGGCAGGGGGGAGCAAAGACTTTCGCCCCTGCCCGCCTTCAGAAGAGGTCCAGGACCTCTTCTGAAGGCTGGCGGGGGGCAAAAGTCTTTGTCCCCCCTGCCTGCCTTCCCAGGGGCTTTTAAATCGCCCCGGACAGCGGAGAAGTCCTCCGCTGTCCCGGGCGATTTTAAAATGCCGCCCGCCAGCATTTTAAGATCGCCCCGGACAGCGGAGAAGCCCTCCGCTGTCCCGGGGTTTTTTAAAATGCTGGGGGTGGGAAGAAAAGCCCTTGTCCCCCCCCCAGCCTTCAGAAGAGGTCGGGGGACAGACTGTCCCCGGACCTGGTCTGAAGTCGGTTTCCATAGGAACGCATTAATTGATTTTCAATGCATTCCTATGGGAAACCGTGCATCGCAAGACGAAAAACTCGCAAGACGAAGAGACTTGCGGAACGAATTAATTTCGTCTTGCGAGGCACCACTGTAGTTCCCCCTTGACGGGTTTGACAAACTAACGGTTCCCATGATTCTTTGCGGAAGTAAAGTGCTTTTAAACAAGTGTTTTAAATCTGCGTTATGGATCTGCCCGCAGTAAACACTCCCCCATCACCTGAAAACTTGCCTCTGCTCTCTCCAGGGGAATGAGACAAGAAGAAAACATCTGCCACTCTAAGGAGAAGCTAAACATCCTTCCGCAGAAAGGGATTTGCCAGGCGAATAACAGCATGCGAGGGTGGGGGTGGGGTAAGGAAAAGGAATGGGGGATGAGAACCAGAATACAGGGGAAGTGATGAGGAGAGAAAGAGAGAGAAAGAGACTCTGAATCATTATCATTTTGATATTAATTGGAATACAAATGTAGAGCTGCCATACGTCCAGATTTTCCCAGATATTACCAGGATTTCAAAGGCGGAATTGACGTCCAGAGGGAATTTCCAAAAGGCAGCACTTTGGATCTTAGGGAAGTACAGTGGTACCTCGGGTTAAGAACTTAATTTGTTTTGGAGATCCGTTCTTAACCTGAAACTGTTCTTAACCTGAGGTACCACTTTAGCTAATGGGGCCTCCCACTGCCACCGCACGATTTCTGTTGTCATCCTGAAGCAAAGTTCTTAGGTACTATTTCTGGGTTAGCAGACTCTGTAACCTGAAGCGTCTGTAACCTGAAGAAGAAGAAGAAGAAGAAGAAGAAGAAGAAGAAGAAGAAGAGTTTGGATTTGATACCCCGCTTTAGCACTACCCGAAGGAGTCTCAAAGCGGCTAACAACCTCCTTTCCCTTCCTCCCCCACAACAAACACTCTGTGAGGTGAGTGGGGCTGAGAGACTTCAGAGAAGTGTGACTAGCCCAAGGTCACCTAGCAGCTGCATGTGGAAGAGCGGAGACGCGAACCCGGTTCCAGCGTCTGTATCGTGAAGCGTCTGTAACCTGAGGCACCACTGTAAAAAGAAAAATCACCGGTTTTTGTTGTTGTTTTTTTTTAAAAAACCCTCAACAAATTTTGGCAGCCTTAACCATCTTTGCTTTGTCAGAGATATTGGCTGCTACTGCATTTCCAGACCAAATCAGTTTGCTGGTTTTGGCTTACAAAACCCAGCATGGCCTGGGATCCCCATACCTGCAAGACTGTAGCCCTATATTCACATGTCATATGTGGAAGGTGTAAAGGCAAATGCGAGGTCGTGCCAATTACCGTATTTTTCGCTCTATAGGACGCACTTTTCCCCCTCCAAAAATGAAGGGGAAATGTGTGTGCGTCCTATGGAGCGAATGCAGGCTTTCGCTGAAGCCTGGAGAGCGAGAGGGGTCGGTTGCGGCTGGAGAGGTTGTGCGTGGCTAAAGAGGAAGCCAAGACAGCCCGTGGGGTGGATCCCACTCGCTGTCTTGGCTTCTTTGCTCTTTGGGGCTGGGGGGGGGAATATTTTTTTTCTTTATTTCCCCCCCCTAAAATCTAGGTGTGCCCTATGGTCCGGTGCACCCTATGGAGCGAAAAATACGGTAGACACACTCCCTCTGCATTCCCCAACTGCCACTGCGCTCGCCGGGCTTCAGGCAGCTATCCGCAAGCCTTCTGAGCGTGGCGGGATTTCCCGCTGAGCTCCGAAGGCTTGCGGATAGCTGCCTGCAGCCTGAAGCCCAGGGAGTGCAGCGCCAACTTTCCCTTCCCGTCAGCATCCCATCCAAAATCAAGCTTTGCAAGTTTCCTCTCATGGTACTTTAGGCATGGATAACACCCATCCTGTCCTTAAATTTCAAGAGAAGCGGATGCTTTGTGCCATATGCGAAATGTTCCACCTTGTGGCCATTGGCTGAAACGTCCCCATATCAATTAGCAAAAGGAAAGGGAGTTGTGGGGGGTGGAAAAGAAGGAAAGTTAAACTTGAGGGATTAACAAAAGCTAATGTGGTAGGTTTTCCTGGCTCATCTCTTAATGGGATGGCTTTATTGTCTTATGTTCAGAAAGGGTTTTTATGTTTTAATGGCTGTGCAATTAAAAAATAAATAAATTGTAAAGCGCTTAGAAGCCTTGTCCGGCACTAAGCGATATCTAAATAAGTAATTAAAAGTTTCAACAGCACTCTCTCCTTCTGAGGTTCACAGCAATTGACATTCAAAAAGCGTGCTGCCTCCAGAAGTAAAGATGGAAAATAGCCTTCAGGGTTAACAGACACTGATAACCCCCATGAATCTGTTTAATCCTCTTTCAAAGCCATCCAAGTTTGTGGCCATCACCGCCTCTTGTGGGAGCAAATTCCATCTTTTAACTATTTATTTATTTGTTGTTGTTGTTTAGTCGTTTAGTCGTGTCCGACTCTTCGTGACCCCATGGACCAGAGCACGCCAGGCACTCCTGTCTCCCACTGCCTCCCGCAGTTTGGTCAAACTCATGCTGGTAGCTTCGAGAACACTGTCCAACCATCTCATCCTCTGCCGTCCCCTTCTCCTTGTGTCCTCCATCTTTCCCAACATCAGGGTCTTTTCCAGGGAGTCTTCTCT